TCTGTCATCTGAAGCGTTCAGCTAAATGCATAAGACAAAAGTCAAAACACAAAGCATGCTGCTGTGCTATCCACGAGTTCTGGGCTTCAGTGCATCTCTTCATTAGTCCAGCTCAGCGGACTAGCTCTCTATGTCTAACAAAACTCACTAACTCATTACCTTACATTCCGAAAGGCAGATGTCTTTATTATCCCCGCCCTTTGAGGACACGGACTCTTACATAAACTGGAGAAATAATTACTGGGTATGGTTACACTGAGCAGCACCTCTGGTATGAGCAGAATGATCCAAACTTAACTACCACAATCCCAAGGTTACCAAGTGCTTACTAAACCGAAATAAGGACATTAGTAGCAGCAAAGTTCTGACACCCACGTCTAAAAAGTAAGATAAACATTCTTTTCTTGCAACAGACAATACTCAGCTTTTTGAATCTAAGTATATTAGTCAAGGTCTCAGCAATATACAGATGGCATACTCAGCAATTTGCAGAGAACTAAACAAGGAGATCTATTTTTTTTTTTTGAGACGGAGTTTCACTCGTTACCCAGGCTGCAATGCAATGGCACGATCTCAGCTCACTGCAACACTTGCCTCCTAGGTTCCAGCGATTCTTCTTCCTCAGCTTCCTGAGTAGCTGGGATTACAGGTGTCTGCCACCTTGCCTGGCTAATTTTTTTTTTCTTTAAAAAATTTTTTTTAATTTTTTAATGTTAAGATGGGCATTCACCATGATAGCCAGGCTGGTCTTGAACTCCTGACCTCAGGTGATCCACCCACCTTGGTCTCCCAAAGTCGCCTGGCTAATTTTTAATATATTTTTAAATTAGAGATGGGGTTTTGCCATGTCGGCCAGGGTGGTCTCGAATTCCTGACCTCAGGCAATCCACTCGCCTCAGCCTCCCAAAGTGTTGGGATTACAGGTGTGAGTCACTACACCCAGCCCAGGAGATCTTTTAAAAGATCTTTTAAAAGATGTGATATGGGAAAATCACGGGGCTATGTGATCCCTGTCGCCTTTGGGCCTGAAGGGGTTAGTGAAGGGAGTGGCTCTAGGCAACTGGAGAGGGCTACCGGACAGGTACCACCTGTGAGATGTACCCTACAGGTGGGCCATGCTGCCGGTGGTGTCAGCCCCCAGAGAAGGTCCAGGCATCACTCACTTCCTTCCCTATCCCTGCCAGGGCCCCTCTTGGCCAATCCCAACCAGGAGCCAGAGGGTAAGTGAGCTTCTAGTCGGTAGAGCTCAGCCTTCTGGGCAAGAATAGGGTGGAGAATTGATCCGGAGGGGCCATGGCGGGCAGGCAACAACCAAGTAACCATAAGCAGGGTTTGGGTAGAGGTTGGCAACAGCAAAGAAAAAGTGCTTAGCCCCACAACTGCCCTCTAGCTGACCAAAGCGAATCCAGACCAAAATGGCCATTACAGAAAAAAGTGAATTAAAACATCTTATTTCAAATTTCTTTCTTTCCTAACTGCCTGTGGGGCAACTCACTTTTAAAGTAAAATAAAACCAGCAGAACTGAAATTAAGAGACTGGAGTCCTAAGTTATATGTAGAGTAAGAACAATCTTATTTACCTCCAAGACCATGGAGCCAAATTCTTTGTCTTTATATAGCTGCTTCGCACAGGCTAGGATGGTGGATGTCTTGCCTGTCCCTGGGGGGCCATAGAGAAGCAAGTGTGGCAGTCGGTCTTCACTGATAAATTTCTGAACTGAGGATTGGGAAGAAAGGAGGGCACCATCAGTGTTTGGGAGCTGCCTCATTCACGCCAGGTCCCTGAGTTGGGCTGAAAGCTCTTCAACCCAATTCAATGTCTAAATCAGAGGCAGATACAACTTGACGTAGGGGCCTTGTCTCTGTATTCCTGGTGCAATTGGAATTCACTCAGTAATGCAGCCAGTCAAGTATTTACTGAGTGCCTACTGTGTTACAGGCACTTTTCTGGGTGCTGGCAACATCTTTGAACTTAAATGATTCTCTGTAATGCTATTTTTACTCTACTGTGTTGCAATTTTATGCTCATGTTTATGACTTACCCACTAGACTGTAGCTACCTGAAGAAAATGAATGAACAATCTTAAAGCCACATTCTATTAAGCTCAATCAGATTCTCTGAAGTTATTACTTAGGAGAGACATCACCACCAAGAAATTTATACAGATCCTTCAACCAGGACAAGAGCAACGGACACATGGATACTTACTGGTACTCAGAATGTCCTGATGAGAAATGAGATCATTCAGGGTCTGTGGCCGGTATTTCTCAACCCTGAAATACAATTTAGCAGGTATTATGACATATAAATGCAAGAACATTTTATATGCAAAAGAATCCTTGGCTGGGCATGATGCCTCGCCTGTAATCTCAACACTCTGGGAGGCTGAGGCGGGTGGATCATGAGGTCAGGAGTTCAAGACTAGCCTGACCAACATGGTGAAACCCCGTCTCTACTAAAAATATAAAAATTAACCGGGCATGGTGGTGCACACCTGTAATCCCAGCCACTCAGAAGACTGAGGCAGGAGAATTGCTTGAACCCAGGAGGTGGAGGCTGCAGTGAGCTGATATCACGCCATTGCACTCCAGCCTGGGCCACAGAGTAAGACTCCATCTCAGGAAAAAAAAAAATCCTTGTAGGCCAGGCACAGTGGCTCACATCTGTAATCCCAGCACTTTGGGAGTCTGAGGCAGGTAGATCATTTGAGGTCAGGAGTTCAAGACCAGCCTGGCCAACATGGCAAAACCCTGTCTCTACAGCTACCTCCTAGGGGCTCTGTACGGATCAAACATCTAACAGGGCATCTGCTAACCTAATAATACGCCATTCAATAAAAAAATAAGAAAAAAAATACAAAAATTAGCCAGGTAAGGTGGCATGTCCCTGTAGTCCCAGCTACTCAGCACGCTAAGGTGGGAGAATCGCTTGAACCTGGGAGGCAGAGGTTGCAGTGAACTGGGATCACACCACTGCACTCCATCCTAGTTGACAGGGTGAGTGAGACCCTGTCTCAAAAAAAAAAAGAAAGAGAGAGAAAGAATCCTTTCATATCCTAATTTAAAAAGGAAGAAAAAGCACTTTAAATTTGAACACAGACAGTGGTTCTCAACCAGGGTGATTTCGTCCTCCTAGGAACATCTAGTGAAACATACTTAGCTGTCACACGTGGGCAGAGGGTCCTAGGCACTTAGTGCATAGTCTCTAGGAATGTTAAACATGCCACAGTGCACAGGACAGCTCCCCCAGACCCACCCAGAGTATCTTGGCCCAAAATATCAATAGTGCTGAGGTTGAAAACTGTTCTTATCTCATCTTTCCAGCTGTTTGCCTATAATCTCAACCTGATGGGCACCTACTATTTCAAAGTGCATTTGAAACTGAACTCATACCCAAATAGCCTTCAACAGAAGAATGGATAGGTAAAATGTCTTCTGTCGATACAACGGACTATGATTCAGCCGTAACAAGAAATGCAGTACTGATACAAACAGCAACATGCATGAACCTTGAAAAACTGATGCCGAGTGAAAGAAACCAGACACAAAAGGCCACATCATGTAGGATTCCACTTACATCAATGTCCAGAATAGGCAAATCCATAGAGACAGAAAGATTAGTGGTTGCCAGGGGCTAGAGGAAGGGGAGAATGGGGAGTGACTGTCAAGGGTACAGGATTTGCATTTGGGATGATGAAATTTTGGAACTAGATAGTGGGAGGACTCCACAACAGTACACTGCATTCTGAATGTACTTAATGCCACTGAATTGTACACTTTAAAATGATTACGTGCTGGGCTTGGTAGCTCGCCTCTAAAAGTTCCAGTGCTCTGGAGGCTGAGGCAGGAGAATGGCTTGAACCCCAATGTTTGAGGTTAGACTGAACTGTGATCACACTACTGTGCTTCAGCCTGGGCAACAGAGCAAGACCCTGTCTCTAAAAAAATAAATACATAAAATACTTACAACTGTCAACCTTATGGGATTTTTTTTTAAAAAACCACAATAAAAGCAAATTGAACTAGCTACTAGACAATGACAACTTGGAGCTTTCAAAACCAAGCCAAATTGCATCAAAGTCTTTAGAGCACTGCTAGGACATCGCTGTTGAAGTAGGATGGTTAACAGTACAAGCTCTGAATTCAGACTTCCTAGATTCACCTCCAAGCCTATTTTCTAGCCCTGGACCATAGGCAAGTCATTTAACCTTTCTAAGATGCAGTTTCCTCCTGTGTAAAATTTGAAGCGGTGCCTACCTCCTAGGGTCTTTGTAAGGATCGAACATCTAACAGGGTGTCTGCTAATCTAGCAATACGCCATTCAATAAAAGTTGACCAGGGAGCGTTATTACTCGTTTAAAATGTGACCAATAGTCGCATCGCAGGTTTTGAAGAGTGGGAAGAGGACATTTTGGCATGGAGGCCAACGCAGGTGTCAGAGGACGCAGGATCGAATCCCTGTGCTGTCACCAGGTGCGAAAGCCGCTTTCTTCTTCGGCAAATGGAGCTGGGTGTGAAAGGGTAAGAGCTGCAAAAGTCCTAAACAGAACGGACGAGTCTGGGGACCTGGGGGGCATCGGGGGAAACCTCTGCGGCTCGGCCCCGACTGCAGACCCGGGAGCGGCGGGGCAAGATCGGGCTGGGGTCCGGTCACCTGCCCACCCCGGCCACCGCCTCCCCGCGCGGCCGCCCGGCCCCCTCTGCCCACCGCGGCCGCTTGGCCTCTTCCTACCAGGGCAGGTTCCTGATCTTGGCCGCCGCGGGTTGCTCCTGCTGCTTGAGCGCTGAGGTCTCCATGGCGGGGAGACGAAGGCGACCAGATCCGCTGAGATCGTCGCGTAACTCAAGCGCCTGCACAGCGACCAGCCGCGACCTGACCCTGAGACCCTTGCACTCAGAGTTCGCGCGCAAAAACAACTCTCGCGATAAGTGGCCATCGTTTCCGACTTCCTCCCTGGGTCCCGCCTCCTAGTGTTGCCAGGGCGCCGGTTGCTAGGTTACCAGAGGGGCCAGCCGCCAGCCAGCTTCCAAGCTCCACCTCTCCAGCCTGCTCGGAGCTCTCAGATACCTAGGCGCTTCCAGAGCAGGGGATCGGGAGAGGCAGGGCGCCCTGTAGCCCTGGTCATTAGCACCTATTAAGATCTCACGGCCAAAGCCAATTCCTGCCATAGCCAAACTTCAAACACTTAACGTTCAAACGAACAAAAGCTTTCGGGGCTCAAAAAAAATATTTTTCTAAGTAAAAAACAGCACCCGAGCAACACGGCTGGATCTTGAATATACATGCACTTGTGAAAAAGGCTCACAATACCTCTCGGCCCCAAAGCTGGGGGTGGGGTGAATATTTGGAAATGAAAACAACCCCAAACACACATAACTGCAACCTACCTCTCTCCGGAATCCGTGCCCCTCACCCAACAAAATTTAGAGAACCAACCACCGGAAAACTACTCCAGAGAAAAACAAACAGAAACTTCCAGTTGGGTTCATCTGTGTCGCTGGAAGGATCTGGTTCATGAACACAGAGGACAGAGTTTCTGCGATCTGAGATACTGAGGAGAATGGTAATCAACATTTTAGTTTTTTTTTTTTTTTTTTATGAGTCGAAAAGATTCTGGATCATTTTCATTTTCTTCTTTTTTGTAGGTCCATCTTTCCTTTTCTTTCTTTTTTTTTGAATCTCTGTCACCTCGGCTGGAGTGCACTGGCATAATTTTGGGTCACTGCAACCTCTGCCTCAAGGTTCAAGCGATTCTCTGCCTCAGCCTCCCAAGTAGCTGGGACTACAGGCACGTGCCACTATGCCCAGCTAATTTTTGTATTTTTAGTAGAGATGGGATTCGCCATTTCGGACAGGCTGGTCTTAAACTCCAGATGTCAGGTGATCCACCTGCCTCAGCCTCCCAAAGTGCTGGGATTATAGGCGTGAGCCCCCGTGCCTGGCCTGGTCTGTATTTTCCAGCAATGAGCATGCAAACCATCGATATTGAAGTCTCTCTTTTTTTTTTTCCTTTTTTTTAACGTGATGAGGAAGAGAAAAATCTTCGGAGGATTTTCAAGGCTGGCCTGGGGTCAGCAGTGTTCTGATTAGGAGGTAGCAGTACTCCTTGCATCGGATTACATTAATGTCACCTGCTTTAGGAACACAGCAGAGGGACAGTGGCAAGTATATGGTGGCAGTTACGGCTTCCCCCTATTCCCTGCCTGGAGACCCCAAAGAGGGGGTTCACCTAGGGCTTGTGATGTGACTGCCCCTACTCTCTGCTTTCTCCCCGGTAAACTTTAACACTGGGGCTTAGATCATTAGCATCCCGTTTTAAATTCTCTTTCTTTCTTTTAAGATAAAATTGGTTTTATTCTTTCTTTCTTTCTTCCTTTTTGAGACAGAATTTCACTCTTTCACCCAGCCTGGAGTGCAATGGCACGATATCGGCTCACTGCAACCTCTGCCTCCCAGGTTCAAGCAATTCTCCTGCCTCAGCCTCCTGAGTAGCTGGGATTACAGGTGTACACCACCACCACCAGCTAATTTTTGTATTTTTAGTAGAGACAGGGATTTCACAATGTTGGTCAGGTTGGTCTTGAACTCCTGACCTCATGATCTGCCTGCCTCAGCCTCCCAAAGTGCTGGGATTACAGATGTGAGCCACCAAGCCCTGCTGGCTTTATTCATTTTTATCTCCTTGAAAGGAATCATAAGTGATTAACAAGTTTTTCTTAAATACTAAGGCTAAAAACAGCACGTTTACAATTAATTTGCTGACACGTGCTGAAGTGAGATATTGATGCCCTGAATTAAAGTCATAGGAACACATTAAATATTTCTCATGTATTGCCAAATTCTGGGGTCTTTGAACACTCCTGAGTTTTGTTTTTGAGAGAAGGTCTTACTCTGTCACCCAGGCTGGAGTGCAGTGGTGCAATCACGGCTCACTACAGTCTCAAACTCCTGGGATCAAGTGATCTGCCTGCCTTGGGCTTCCTAAAGTGCTGGGATTATTGGCGTGAGCCACCACACCCAGCCCTCACCTGTTTTTTTTTAAAGGCATAAAATACAAGTGATGGGTGTATAAAGAAAAACAGGTGATGCAATTTTAGAAAACAACTGATGCGATAATTAAGCAAAATTATGAAAGATTACTAAAGAAATAAATGGTGCTGTACCCTCCTCTCCAACCATCTAATTGTTTAGAGGCAGGCTTTACATTGGGGTAAAATCCTAACAGGTGGCTGATGTGGTTTGGCTCTGTGTCTCATCTCAAATTGTAATCCCCAGGTGTCTAGGGAGGAAGGTGAGTGGATCAAGGGGGCGATTTCCCCCATGCTGTTCTTGTGATAGTCAGTTCTCATAAGATCTGATGGTTTGATAAGGGGCTCTTCCTACTTTGCTTTTTCATCTCTCTCCTGCCACCTTGTGAAGAAGGTGCCTGCTTCCCCTTCGCCTTCCACCACGATTGTAAGTTTCCTGAGGCCTGCCAGTGATGTGGAACTGTAGGTCAATCGAATCTCTTTTCTTTATAAATTATCCAGTCTCTTTATAGGGTATTTCTTTATAGCAGTGTGAAAATGGTCTTTGAAACTAATACAGTGGTCTTTGAAACTAAAGGAAAAGTCATCAAGAAAGCATTGCTTTGGGAGTCAGAAGACCTGCCTCAAATCAGTTCAACTCTAAAAATCTTTACACAGCCTATGGAGAGAAACCTAAGCAAGTCCCTGAATCCTCCAGGAAAATGAAAAGAATTACAAAGGCTAAAGAACTGTTAGAATCAGTGCAGTCAACATGTTGACCAAAGCATTCCTACGTGCCAGGAAAATGGTGCGTTGGAATGTTTTTGCTTCTCACGAGAAAGGCAATTTAAGTCGCAAGGTAAGGGCAACATTTTGAAGATGGCCACGTGGACTCTGGATCCCTCTCTTTTTGTTCATGATTTGTTCTCTCTTTAGTGTTTCTGCTTCCGGCCAAGCATTAGGTACCCTTGGGGTGGCGTGCCACTTTTTCCACTTAGTCTTGGGCAGGTTGCTTCTGTCCTTAGCCAATAACATCTACTCAAAGATGGTTGTAAGGATAAAATGAAAGAACCAATGTGCAGCATCCAACACATTGCCACCCTACTCTCCCCTTCCCTTATAACAGTCTCCACCCAAACTGTTCTGGTTTCAGATTTGTCCTCTCAAACAAAACCCAAAGGATTGGCTAGTGGAACTATGCCATAACCTGGCTCTATTGATGGTAAGAGCCATCCTTGCCATCATGGTAAGAGCCTTCCTTGCCATCATGGTAAGAGCCATTTATGGTAAGAGCCATCCTTCTAAGGACCTTTACATTAGAAGCACCTCCTTGAGCTGAAAGGTTCAAACAAAACCAGAACAACTTCTCATAAAACTTTGTGTTCATCTGCTGTTCTGTCAACTTGGAATGTAGAATTCTCCTGTGTTGACATTAGATACTACATTGCAAAGTCCTCTACTGTGTGCCTCCCCAGTGGAGTGAAAGCTTGTTGAGAGGAGAACCGATGACTTACTACTGTACTTCTGGTGCCTGAAACACTACCTTGCTTAAAGGAAGCACTCAATTCGTAACTGATGAATGGCTGAATGAAAATGGCTCAGATGCATTAGGCAGTTACTATGGCCGACACATTGTTCTAAGCACTTTACATTTATTATGCCCACTCAGTTGTTGAAAGAAGCCCCTTACTATCATTGGCCCCATTCTTTAGATACATTAGGTAATTTGCTTAGGTTCTCACTTGTAAGGGGCAGAGCTGGATCTTGCTAATACAGTCTGGTTCTATATAGCCGAGGCTGGAGCAACAGCATCAACAGCAGCCCTTGGGAACTTCTTAGAAATCCTAATTATTCTTCCCTCCACCTCAAACCCACGAAATCTTAAACCTTACAGGTGGGGCCCAGCCATCTGTGTTGTAACAAGCCCTTGAGGGGATTCTGAAGCACTGGGGTTGGAGAGCCATATCACTATACTATCCCGCTTCTCCATCCTCAAGCATTCCAGGACTTTGATTTCCTATTTACCTATTTGAGACAGGGGTCTTACTCTGTCATCCAGGCTCACCCAGGCTGGAGTGCAGTGACACCATTTCGGCTCACTGCCAGCCTCCACCTCCAGGCTCAAGTGGTCCTCTCACCTCAGCCTCCCTAGTAGCTGGGACTGCAGGCACATGCCATGATGGCTGGCCAGTTTTTGTATTTTTGTAGAGACAGGGTTTTGCTATGTTGCCCAGGCTGGTCTTGAACACCTGGGCTCAAGCAATGCAACCACCTTGACCTCCCAAAGTGGCTCATGATGGGATTACAAACATGAACCACTGTGCCTGGCCCCAGGACTTCACTTTCTAAGAAAAACAGTGGATGCTGTCTAAAAACAAAATTTTATCAAATTGAATTTAATGATCTCATTGTCTTTTATTTTCAATTCATGAACTGGGCAGCATCCCATCTGTGAAATAGAAAAGTCCTCCAGCGAGCTGAGCAGAGGGATGGGTTTTGTATGCAGAAGAACTGAAAAGGGCAGAAACACAGACCAAAAAGTGCACTGATCATTTCAAAGCTACTTTCCTTATAAGATTAAAGTAGAGGAGATATTCTTATTATGCTTGCTCAGCTTGACTGGGCCCTTTTGAATTGGTTGCTGTAAACCTTCTGTTTTTTTGAAAAACTGGACTTTTTTTTTTTCTGAGATGGAGTCTCACTTTGTCATCCAGGCTGGAGCTCAGTGGTGCAATCTCAGCTCACTGCAGCCTCCTGGGTTTAAGCGATTCTCCTGCCTCAGCCTCCCTAGTAGCTGGGATTACAGGAGACTGCCACCTCACCTGGCTAATTTTTGTATTTTTAGTAGAGATGGTGTTTCACCACATTGGCCACACTGGTTTCGAACTCCTGACCTCAAGTGGTCCACCTGCTTTGACCTCCCAAAGTGCTGGGAATATAGGCATAAACCACCACGCCTGGTCGAAAACTGGCCCATTTTGAAGTTCCATTTGATTGCATGACAGTTAGCATAGGTGTCTCCATTCTGGTTTGGTCTGGTCTACCAAGGGCTAGTGCAGGAACCTAGTCCAAACAATGCCTCTCATAAGTTTTGTTTAATTTTTAATGTTTATTTTCTGAAAACATGTCAGGTTCATACCGTAAATTTTGTTTAACAGTACTCACATATATATTCTGGAAAATCAACGTTGTTTTAGTATTATTATGATTTACATTTTTTTTCTGTAGAGATAGCGTCTCACTACATTGCCAGGGCTGCTCTTGAATACCAGTCCTGAAAAGATCCTCCGGCTTTGGCCTCCCAAAACTCTGGGATTAAAAGCATGAGCCACAGCACCTAGCCAAATTTTCCTACCAAATGTCATTTCTATATGTAGTTTTGCTTATTTCTGTTTCTGCTATTAATTAAAGGTATAGCCCTTTGGGCAAGTTACTTAACTTTGGACCTCAGTATTCACATCTGTGAAATGGGCAGGGGTGGGAACTTGACTAGATCAGTTACTTTTAGCCCTGGCTGACACTAAAAGCACCTGGAGAACCTAAAAACCATTCCGTTATCAGAAGTCCAGCAAGACTAATTAAATCCGGCCTCTAGGAGTGGGACCTTCCATTGACATTTTATTTATTTATTTATTTTAGAGATGGAGTCTCACTCTGTTGCCCAGGCTGGAGTACAATGGCATGATCTTGGCTCACTGCAACCTCTGCCTCCCAGGTTCAAGCAATTCCCCTGCCTCAGCCTCCTGAGTAGCTGGGATTGCAGGTGTTTGTCACCGCGCCTGGCTAATTTTTTTGTATTTTTAGTGGAGACGGTGCTTTACTATGTTGGCCAGGCTGGTCTTGAACTCCTGACTTCTGGTGGTTCGCCCACCTCAGCCTCCCAAAGTGCTGGGACTACAGGTGTGAACCATCACACCCAGCCTCCATTGGCATTTTAAAGAGGCTTCTTAGGTGATTATAATATTCAGCCAAAGTTGAACTACTGTGCTAAATAAAGCCAATCACTGCCATCCTGGACCTCTTGCTCGTGATTGGCTTAAGAGATGTGCATGGGACCCAGTTCTGCCCAATTTTGATATAAGAGGAAATGATGGGAGGGGCTTCTGGGAAGTTTTTCTCAATACTTTGCTGATTCTTGCACTAGGTGGCCTTTATTTTCTCTCTAAGTACCAAGATGCTTTCACTGTAAAGAGAAAGAGAGAGAAAGACTGGAGTTGCAAACTCACATGTCTCTAAGTAGCCTGGAAGTTAATCTATTAAAGGAAGAGAGTTGGGTGGAAGCTATGCTCTACCTCAAGGGGGCTGAAGTTTTAGATATAAGATTTAAGCAGAAGGGGAATGTAATAATGAAATGCCGGATAATCACATAATCACTGTTTCTTTTTTTGAGATGGAGTCTTACTCTGTCACCCAGGCTGGAGTACAGTGGCACGATCTCGGCTCACTGCAACCTCCGCCTCCCAGGTTCAAGCAATTCTCCTGCCTCAACCTCCTGAGTAGCTGGGATTACAGACACCTGCCACCATGCCCAGCCAATGTTTTTTGTATTTTTAGTAGAGTCAGGGTTTTGCCACGTTGGCCATGCTCGTCTTGAACTCCTGACCTCAGATGATCCGCCCAGCTCAGCCTCCCAAAGTGCTTGGAATGACAGGCGTGAGCCACCGCACCCGGCCATAGAATCACTATTATACGAAGCTGGAGAATTGAGCTTGGAAAATGGGGCAGACAGGCTATGCAACTGAAACCATGTTCCAAATTACTCCACCAAATCAAGCCAGGGAAGAAACTGCTGCTGCTGCCAACCATGGGCTGCTGCTGCCCCTAATGCCCTCGCTGTTCCTAGAAACTGGATTTTGCTTTCACCATCCATGGCTAGAAATAATTCACCAATTCTTTCCTGTCCTGGATTCTTCCTAAAATCAGCACCCCATTTAGAAGCCTGGGAGACACGCTTAATTGGCCAAGCCTGGTGCATACCGGTAAGTATCGGGTATATTGCTCAAACCGTGGTAAATGACATCTGCCTCCCACCAAGACTTATGAACTGGGGACATCCATGAACAAAGGAGAGGGGTTCAAAAGCGGGTGGCAGAAGATCTCACAAATGTTTATCACACCAGTATTCTGCCATGAGGGACAATAGTCAAATGTTGCCAGTTCTTCTGATTTTTCAAGCAAAACCAAAAATTTGGATTTTATCTTTTTTTTTTTTTTGAGACAGGCTTGTGCCCAGCTTCCCAGGCTGGTCTTGAACTCCTGGGCTCAAGCAGTCCTCCTGCCTTGGACTCCGAAAGAGCTAGGATTACAGGCATGAGCCAACTTACGCAGCCTATTTATTATTTTGGAGACAGGGTCTCACTCTGTGGTCCAGGCTTGAGTGGAGTGATGGAATCCTAGCTCACTGAATCCTTGAACTCCTGGGTTCAAGCAATCCTCCCCCATCAGTCTTCTGAGTGGCTGGGGCTATAGGCAAGCACCATCACACCCTGTGTTGGTGCTAATTAAAAACATTTTTTTGGTAGAGGTAGGGGTTGCCCAGGCTGGTCTTGAACTCCTGAGCCCAAGTAATCCTCCGGCTTTAGCCTCTCAAACGATTGTGATTACAGGTGTCAGCCACGGTGACTGGGTGAAATTTGGATTTTATATGAAATCTTTGTATATTAAATGTTGGTAACTAATGAAACTGCTGGCCAGGCAAAAACACTATACAGATCATTTTGTGACTTCCAGTGTGTCAAGGACAGGTGATCAGGCAAAGATGTAGTCATTTCTTCTTATGTTCCCCTCTGCCTGTGGTTGAGCCCTTCTGGGGGATTACTGGCCAGCAGAGGTGATATCTCTGTGTGAACTGTAATGTTGATGAGCACAGGTTCGAGCTATTCTTCTATAATCACCATCATATTTGGAAACAGTTTAATAAAACATCAAGTCCTGGAGATGGCAGGATCATACATTATAAGCAAAATTACCAACACAAGGCATTTGCTCTTAAAATTGGATCAGAGAAAGGGAGCCCTGGATTTTACTACTCTCAGCTTTGGAACAAACTTGGGTTTGGACCTAGAACTTACTGCTTTTGTTTATTTTTAAGACGTCTTATGAGAGAATGGGATTCAAGGCTATCTTTGGAAGATGCCGGCAGAAGAAAATCAAACTGGGTCTTTCTCCTGAACGTGTTTATACTGGTGAAATCAGGTTTAAATAAAGAGGGAGGACTTGATGGAGAAAAACATCTCATAGGGCAATTCGAAGAGTGTGTATAAAGGGAAAATCCTAGACTGACTGATGAGGACTCAAAGTCCTAAGGTCTTCCTTCCCCCAACTACTTTCTCTTGTCAGAAACCCCCAAATCCCCCATGTTAGAGTTTAGGGACTTCATTCGTCATCCTCTAATGTGTGTTGATCAAATAACTAATAGACGGTTATTTATTACGTCCTGAACCTGATTCTGATTTTCAGCTTGGAAGGGTAAACTCATATGAGTTTGCTCCATATACTGTCATTATTTTTTTTAAGTTAAATATATCTAGCTTAATGTCCTTCACTGTTACTCTCTCAAGCTGAAATAGTTTGGAAATTAATTCTGTTGGGAATTGAGGGTTGGGTTTCTTCCCTTCTCTGGGGCCATTCAAGATGCCTAGGAGGTTGTGGAAATAGGCTAGAAAGTTTGGAGAAAGGCTTTTGGTCTTCAATTCTTTTATTATTATTATTTTTAAATTTTAGCGACAGCATTTCACTCTGTTACCTAGGATAGAATGCAATGGTGCAATCATGGCTCACTGCAGCCTCAACCTTCTGGGCTCAAGTGATCCTCCTGCCTCAGCCTCTGGTGTAGCTGAGACTATAGGCATGTGCCACCACACCTGGCTAAATTTTAAATTTTTTGTAGAGATGGGGTCTCACTATGTTGCCAAGGCTGCTCAAGCCATCCCCTTGCCTTGGCCTCCCAAAGTGCTGGGATGGCAGGTGTGTGAGCTATTGTGCCCAGCTGTCTTCAATTTATTTATTTATTTTGATTGAGAGTCTGGCTCTGTTACTCAGGTTGGAGGGCAGTGGCTTGATCACGGCTCCTTGTAATCAGGGTCCTCCTGGGGGCTAGATGATCCTCCTGTCTCAGCCTCCCGAGTAGTTGGGATTACAGGCACGTGCCACCATGCCTGGCTGATTTTTCAAATTTTCTGTAGAGATGGGGTCTCACCATGTTGCCCAGGATGGTCTTGAACTCTGGGCTCAAGCAATCCTCCCGCCTTGGCCTTTCAAAGTGCTGGGATCACAGGCATGAGCCACTGGGCCTGGCCGGTCTTTGATTTTTTTATATCTTTTGTTATAGGTGTTCTTTGTGCAGGTTAGAATGATCCCTTTAGATCAGCAGCTCTGTTGTTAATAGTGTTGGTTTTCTCCGTGTAAAACTTAGCCACCTAGAACGTTTGTCATTGCGCCCAATGCCACAGAGTTTGGTGTTTAGACTTTCCTGTGTTCATCCTTCAAAGTCCTTTTTATCACATATCCCCTCCCTTGCCTCCAAGAGAAGTATTAATAGATGAAGACAGGATGTGATCTGCACTCTTGTTACTCAAAGCAAGGTCTAGGGACCAGCAGCATTTTCACAACCTGGAAAGTTCTTAGAAGTGCAGTCTCAAGCCAAGCACGGTGGCTCACGCTTGGAATCCCATCACTTTGGGAGGCCAAGGTGGGCAGATCATGAGGTCAGGAGTTCAAGACCAGCCTGGCCAACATAGTGAAACCCTGTCTCTACAAAAAATTTAAAATACGAAAATTCGCTGGGCATGGTGGTGTGCATATGTAGTCCCAGTTGCTCAGGAGGCTGAGGCAGGAGAACCACTTGAACCCGGGAGGCAGAAGTTGTGGTGAGCCAAGATCACGCCACTGCAGTCCAGCCTGGACAAGGGAGTGAGACTCTGTCTTAAAAAAAAAAAAAAAGAAAAGAAAAGAAGTGCAGTCTCTGGCCCCACCCCAGACCTCCTGAATCCAAATCTGCATTTTAACAAGGTTTCTGGCAACTGGTAACAGACACACTTCAGTTGCCAAGCCCTGGATACCACTGTGTTGTATTGGGTTGGTGCAAAAGTAATTGTGGGTTTGCCATTGCTTTCAATGGCAAAAACTGCAATTACTTTTAAAGCAACCTGATATCTCTATCCCACTGTCCTGCCTCGCGAAACTGTCACTCTCACTGTGAATTCTTCAGGGACTTGGGCCACTCGGTTCTCACACAGCACTCCCACCTCCTCCCTCCTAAGAGCCTGGCCATTTGACAATTCATTTTTTTTTTTTTTTTTTTGAGATGAAATCTCACTCTGTCACCCAGGCTGGAGTGCAGTGGCATGATCTTGGCTCACTACAACCTCCGCCTCCTGGGTTCAGGCACAATTCTCCTGCCTCAGCCTCCTGAGTAGCTGGGATTACAGGCATGTGCCACCATGCCCAGCTAATTTTTGTATTTTTAGTAGAGATGAGGTTTCACCATGTTGTTCAGGCTGGTCTCGAACTCCTGACCTTGTGATCCACCTGCCTCGGGCTCCCAAAGTGCTGGGATTACAGGTGTGAGCCACCGCGCCTGGCCAGTAATTCATCTTTAACAAAGTGTCTAGGTGTTCAAGTTCCCCTGGACGAAGCGAGCTCAATATTCCAGAACTGTAAGGCTTAATTACTGGGGAGAGAAAAATCCTCTTAGTCTTTTGTGCTGAGTTTACAGTAGTAAGTATTAATAAGTCTAGTTAATTTCTCGAACATGTTATTCTGTCACACTATTAATAGGCCCTCCAGGCTGGTAAAATTTTAAAAAATATTTATTTTGAAATCTTTCCTTATTCTCTCTACATGGAATCCCATGTAATTGCCCTAGGCTAGAAACTCCAAAGTCACAGAGACTAAGAAAGACAAAAAGGTGCTAATGAGGATATGGTGAAAGTGTAGTTACATTATCCCGGCTGTGTTTGCCATTGGTCCTGCCTGGGACCACACAGCTTTTGGGTTTGAGACGCTAAAAATGCAGAGATGGGCTGGGTGCGGTGGCTCACGCCTGTAATCCGAGCTACTCGGGAGGCTGAGGCAGGAGAATTGTGCCTGAACCTGGGAGGCGGAGGTTGCAGTGAGCCAAGATGGCACCACTGCACTCCAGCCTGGGTGACAGAACAAGACTTTGTCTCAAAAAAAGTAAATTAGTATTTTTTAAAATGCAGAGATGAAAGAGCAGTTGGGTACATACCTATAGTAAGCTATGTGTGCACAACAAGGGGACAGTTTATTGCCCCTCTGCCATCATACTAGGGACCCTGGGGAAGTGAGAAATAGACCTTAATATTAGCAAAAGACTGTAGAATTCATTCAAGGATGCGAAGCCATAAGAAAATACAAATCACTAGCATTATATATGTTGCGTGGCAGCGTTACACCCCACTTTATTATATCATAGATGCTATGCAAAACATGGCTGTTTGTAGACATTTTAGCCCATTCCTCCAGTTCCCCTACACGCACTCTTTCAAAGCATTTGGCCCAAGTTTAATGGCAATATGTTTTTTTTTTTTTTTGAGACAGGGTCTCACTCTGGTCCAGGCTAGAGTGCAGTGGCTCTATTTCAGCTCATTGCAACCTCTGCCTCCTGACCTCAAGCGATCCTTTCACCTCAGCCTCTAGAGTAGCTGGGATCACAGGCACATGCCACCATGCCTAGCTAATATATATATACACTTTTTTTTTTTTTTTTTTTGAGATGGAGTCCTGCTCTGTAGCCCAGGTAGAGTGCGGCGGTGCAATCGGCTCAGTTCAATCTCCACCTCCCTGGTTCAAGCGATTCTCCTGTCTCAGCCTCCTGAGTAGCTGGAATTACAGGCACCTGTCACTGTGCCCGGCTAATTTTTGTATTTTTAGTAGAGATGGAGTTTCACCATCTTGGTGAGGCTGGTCTCAATCTCCGAACCTCGTGATCCACCTGCCTCGGCCTCCCAAAGTGCTG